TCAGCCCTGTTTCCCATTGTAATTTCAGACATTGTTATAGATAATTTAACTTGAAAAATGAAAAACTTCTCACAGTCTGTCTTCTCAAGTCATGACACCGGACAGATTTTATCATAACCTCACCTGTATGTTCATGACAACGAACCAGTTTCAGTGCTTAACTTTAAAGGTTTCTGACAACGGTACTGTCTAGGAACTTAACGTGTTCCTGGCCGTGACCTTGAGTACGTAAACTAGGTGTTTTCAGTTCGCTTCGCTCCCCACAAACCCTTCAAAAACTGGCCATATAGATATACATGTATATATAGAATTTGCTACTTCGTATTCTTGTTCCCATTTTTACCTTATATCCTCACTTCACCTCAATTTTCCTTCATTAATAAATTGTCATTACTTCTTGTAATTCTTCTATCCCTGTTTTTATGTAGACCTCCGATTGTTGGTTTACAATGGACATCGAGATGCAATTTGAAAGCTGTTACCCAAATGGAGAACAAAACTCCACCTCAAATTGATTGGACCCATATCTAGAGAAGAAAAATGTTGTGCACACCGAAGTCTACACTGATGTCGGTCCTAGCCTTGATGGCGTAATGGCTTGCAAAGATATAGAAATGTGCCAAAACCACTAATGAATACTTTATCTTGGCACTTGATTTCACCTTTGTTGTTTCCATGTGTCCTTGTTTTTTGTCCTGTTTGTATTCATATTCTTCACTTGATTTATGAGGTTTGATCACAGTTCGTTATCTTCACCTTTGACATATAAATATTTAATCTGAAAAATGTTTACCGTGTTTTCTGCACAAGATTGGTATATTTTAAGTTCTAAAATTGAAAATATTAGTGATAGTTCCAAATCAATGATTTAAGATTTAACTTATGATCATGCGATGAATGTTCATTTTCCAGGGAATGATATTGTATTAATTTTATGAAAGACACATTTGGAAGTCTTTAAATGTTTCGGGGGAATAGACATATAATGATAATCAACTTTAAAAGAACCCACACAAGTCATTCATTTTCTCTGCAAAACATTGAACTTTCTTATAAACAAGCAGACAAAAGGGTTTTCATTCTTCTGAAAGTACCGCATAAATAGAAATTTTAGCGAGGATGATGTAATCGAGATAAGATCAAATATCGCTAGCAATTAATTTTGCATTTGAGGTTACCGTTTTTTTTGTTTTTGTTTTTGTTAGGCTTCATAAAATTGACAAAATTACTCCTCCTTAAAATTATATACCGTATACCGTATTTTAATAGCTACATGTAATCATTATATTCTTGTCATCAAGATGTAGGCCTATTTATATATTCAGATCGAAAGATGAACCACGTGCTGATACCCTGGATCTGTCGCGTGATGATGCCGATGATTTCTGCAGAGTAGTCTATGCTGCACGGCGCAGTGTAAAATATGTAGAAAAATTATCCTTGTGTCATTCGCAGATGTAGCATATTCAAAACAATAATTACTTGTTGAACAACTTTTCAACTTTTATTCATCATGCACTTTTAAAACGTAATTATTATCCGGAAAATCATAACGATTTGCGTTAATATCGTACACACTCCCAGGTTGGGGAGTAGCTATTGTAAACTCTTTTTATATAATCATAAATTAATAATTATCTGAAAACAAATAAAATGAAATTAATGAAAATGAAACAAATAAAACAAAAATAAAGACATTTAAAATCAAATTTTCCAAATATTTTATTCATGATTTTATGCATATTATCAATAAAGAATGATTTTACTGATCTAAAAAAATAAATAGCGCCCCCATAGGGGTATTTATCACTGATACTAGTTGTGTTATAACTATATAAATTTACTCATCTATGCCTATCTGCGTATGATATGCTAGTCACACAAGTTTGATGATGTACCGTATTGTCTTTTTGCCTTTCGATGATGCACAGTTATATTTTTTCCATAGAACTGTAGGTAAATTGTCTTCAGTATTTTTTTACACTATATGTTATTTTGTATATATGTTTTTCTGGCTTTACAAAACTGTTTTTACATTTTCATATACTCTTTTTTGCAGTTGTTTTTATCATTGTCTTTTACATGGGGTGCTATTTTATTTGTGTGTTTTTTCTCTGTCATTTATTTTCAGCCGCATGTTATGCAATATTTTTAGATGGAAAATAAATGACATTCAACTCTCTTATGATCTTATTTTCTATGGGTATGAGGCAGAGAAACACCCCCCCCCCCCATATATATATATATATATATATATATATATATATATATATATATATATATATATATATTAGGGATGGCAATTTGTAACCGGTTAACCGATTACTCGGTCGGAACGATGGCAATCGATTAGAAAATCTGTAATCGGTTAATCGGAAAAAATAAAATATTTTAAATTGAACACATTTTAAAAAATTATTTCTCTGCACACAAAGGATGATCACTTAGGATTTAAAGAATCTAATTTGGACGTACATGTAATTATGAATCTCTAGATTGAGACCGTTGCGTAATTGGTCAGTTTAGGTAGTGTTAATTACTGTGAAAACGCCATGTCGCTACCCCGGAATGTCCTGTAATTCTTTAATGATAGTAATTGAATCATTGAGAACTGTGAATTTTTGTGTTTGTCGTTTTCAGTTTTCAATCCAATTGAATTATTAAACAAACATTGTAAATTAAGGGCTATAGAGTTCACATGTAGTTTTGATTATCATAGTGAAAATGCAGAAAGGACTTTTGTGGCATCTGCTCTGGAAAATAAAAAAAAAAGCTTTCTTAGGTTTTTTTCATGGTTTTCTCGATTTTTTTCTTGTCTACTGAAATTTGAATAAAAAATATGTACCTGTAGTTTTCTGATACAGAATCAAGACTAATGGAATGTTTTAACTTCTATCGTCTTATTTGGGTCTATTTGTGTATATGGACAGAAATACTTAAAAAATAATTGTCAAGAAAACGTGCATTTTTGATACGACCAACCGGTTAATCGGTCGGAACGTCTTGCGGTTAACCGATTAGCAATTCTGTAATCGATTGCCATCCCTAATATATATATATATATATATATATATATATATATATATATATATATATATATATATATATATATATATATATATATATATATATATATATATATATATATATATATATATTCGTCACTCAGAAGGATTGTTTCTAACATATGAATCATGAATTGAAATATTATGAACACAGCACCTTTTTGTCCCCCGCTTTCACTGAAAGTGGGGGATATTAATTTGGGTCTGTCTGTTCGTCCGTCCGGCTGTCCGTCCGTCCGTCTGTATTTCTGTCTGTAACACTTTCGTTTCCGCGCGATATCTTGAGAACCCTTTGAGCTTTCGCAATGAAATTTTGCATAGCAACTCCCTATCGCCTAAAGAAGAACTGTATTGATTTTGAGGTCAAAAGGTCGAAGGTCAAGGTCATAACTTCATAAATTCTGTCTGTTTTAACACTTTCGTTTCCGCGCGATATCTCGCGAATTCTTTGAGCTTTGGTAATGAAATTTTACATGACAACTCCCTGTGGCCTAAGGAAGACCTCTTTAGATTTTGAGGTCAAAAGGTCAAAGTTCAAGGTCATAAATTCATAAATTCCGTCTGTGTGTAACACTTTTGTTTCCGGGCCATATCTCAAGAAGCTTTTGAGCTTTTGCAATGAAATTTTATACCGTAACTCCCTATAGCCTCTCTCGCCCCTCTCGAAGTGTCCCACCCCTAGACAGAAAATGATAAATGTCCTACGGACCCTTAACGATAGAATGCGTTTCGTGTATTGTCAATGTAGCAGAAGAAAATACGGGAGATAACTCTAACTCAGTTCATTTACTATGAAAAATCCCGAGTGTTCCGAATGTCAACATGGTGTGTAAATTTGAAACGAGTAAAAAACGTCGGTGAAAATGTGTTGAATTCTTCCATAATATGGATTAAATTTTTAGATGAAAGGTATTTACAGTCTCAAAAAGGTTTGTTATAATTAATTTGTTATTTTCAATGCAACTTCATTAATTTTCTCCAAAATCGTTTCGGAGCGATTCTGCAATTTTCTGCTACATTACGGGTATATGGGGGACATTCTAACTGTGGTGAGGGTCATCCCGAGACACACTTAGATTATTCTAACTACGCACCCCGTTTTTATTATCTTATTTATTTATTGTATTAAAAGTCGCTTGGCACTATTTTTAGCACAGGGGCATGTGGAGTGTTATAATAATTACGTATAATACAGGTTGTCGGCGGACTTTATATTCTAATTACATATATTAGAACTGTTTACTAAAGACTAAATAAGACACCATGTATCGATTAAAATTTTGACAATATCGAACGTGAAAATAAACATTGTATGTGACTTAATGTTTGCGTTTAATTAATTTCTTGTATATTCAAGTGTCTCTGTGGTCTAATGGTATGATGTTCGCTTAGCAAGCGAGAGGCCAGGGTTCAATCCCCGATCGATTCTCTTTCTTTTTTAAATGTTTTTTTTTTCTTTTTTTTCTTTTTTTGGATTTACTAAATGATACTATTCAACATGTGAAATGAAAAAAGTTATGATGTCTGGCGTGTACAAACTCATAAAATCATTATTACAGTGTGATAAATATTCTGTATGTATTAAAAAGAATCTTCTATGTACACATATAAAAGAATAAGCAATCAAATCTTTATATCCATATTGGCTTTTTTAAAAAATTTGCTTCAATATACATGTATACATTTAATAATTCTACAAATACGGGGGGGGGGGGGGGGGGGGGGGGAGTGTGACACCCCCCAACTGCGCATGCTCTTCTTTTTTTCCCTAAGCGGGGGACACAAATTCTCTGAATTAGCTTGTTTATTTTGTCTTTTAAAAACCTTTTTAGACCTTTAAAGTTTAGAACAAACAGTATCATGAATTATTATTTTTGTTCATTGAAATATTCTTCGAATAAAAAAAAATAGATAATGCCTTATGTAAATGCTTGATAAACTTCGTATATTTTATTAATCAGTTCAAGAATTGATTAGCAAAATAATTTCATCATGTATTTTACATGTGTATGACAGGGATGAAATTCAACCCGCAGAATTTGGCAAGCAGGGGTCGCTACTCGTTCTGATGAATGTGTCCTGATTTGTGGAAAAGGTTCTCCAGTAGTCGTTTGGTTTTACGTATTTGGCGTGTACCCAGTGGGTCTTGATGTTGCCATGTGCAGCGTAGAATACACCGCTCCAGCTTTTGACAGACATGTCGTCATGGTATTCATTTTTAAAGGCCACCGACCATCCAGTGATGTACTCCGTATTATTAACAGGTATATATTTCCCTACAAGAACGTAGTTCTGTGTAGGATCCCCAATGATGTCTGTATATTGACCTGTGAATGTTGCATTTTGGCAAAAGATTGTCATTTCCGATTTGTATTGATTTCTCCACTTCCCAGCTAATGCACATTGGTTTCCGTGCTGACCGTGGGTCTTACATGGATCATTATCTAAAATGAAGTAATATCAGAGGAAAAAAAACTCTTAATACACGTACGAATGTTAAGGTTACTACTAAGAATCTATAGACATGTTTAATAGTTCTTTATCTAAATCAATTTAGTCAATGAATACAATATACTACTATTTTAAAAATCTAGAAAAAAGAAATAGAATGCAACTACAAGAATAAAATACTGTTGATAAAATAATGTTATTAGCAACATTACATTTATTTAGAAGAAAAAAAATTACAGTCACAAAGCATGTCGTGAAATATTCCTGGCATTATAATAAGTGATGCAACTTACGAGCAACGCTGTCTGATGAATGCACCAGCAATACTCCACAAATCAACATAGACGTGAAATAACAAAGCATCTTTATTCTGTAATTGAAACAGAAAAAGAATGCAGATTTCATTGAACATGAAAAATGTATTGGTGTAATCATATTGAAATAAGTAAACGAACAAACAAGGATAAAAAAGAATATAAAAATCAGACAAAATTAAAAAAAAAAATAACATCATACAATTCAATTTAAGTAACATTTACAGTTGTATCAATACAAATTGTAAACGTGAAATGGTCGCGTGGGGGATTTTTTTTGCGAATTCTGCGTTTAGTAGAGTTTAGCAAAATTTATAACAACACGAAAGGTTTCATATAAAGTAGCATTCTAAATGACAAAACAACATATTTTATAAATTCTTTAGTTTTGCAAAAATAAACCCCAGGGGAATGCTTTCTTCCATGAAAATAGGAAAATTCTACCCCGTAAAAATACCCACGATTATAGTACTTGATTTAATGTGTCGTTAAAGGGCCATTTCAAAATTTAGAATGTGAAATTTACCTTGAAATTCCTTCCTTCCTAGCCGGCGTGAATCTGACTGATATTTCGTTTCTTTCGCCTTTATTTATAGAAATAGTCCATCACGTGCAAGAAAATGCCAGTTATCACTGGGACTGAGAGAGTATAATAAATTAGGAAGTTTGGAATGTTTTTGATTTCTTTCTCCTTATTCTATAAACCAATCCAATACTATGGTAAACTAGTAAACAAGCGACATATATTTATTAAAAATAAATTTATTCATAGATAATGGTAATTCTTCAAGGTCTTATGCATTCAGATATGCAAAGAAGTTTATTACAGATGAGGTTAAAGCAATCATTATAATAATTGTAATTATGCTTCTTTATAAGGACTTAAAGAACTTGTCGCATGTTTCTTAGTCACTTGAAATTAAAAGCAGATCATTAGGATCACAGTATATAGATTTTGAACCATATGTGTTTGAACCGTCAGCAAGAAAAAAAAAAACCCCGAAAAATCTGTAAACATGGTAAATTAACCTGTTAACAGTGATGATAGCGAGCGAGACGCGGCGAAGACGCAGAAACTTGCCTGCAGAATTTAATTATTTAACTTGTCATCTTATCACACGTATTAACCTATTTCAATCACAAATTTAAAATTACAGAACTTTATTTATTTCATTTAATAATCTCAAATCAAATCATAATGTACATGTAATTAACTGATTAAGCGACTGAATCAAGGGGACCGGTGCCAGGGTAATTATAATAATACTTGTAGTTTGATTGATTGAGTGTTTATTGTTTAACGTCCCACTCGAGAATTTTTCACTCATATAGAGACTTCACCATACACCGGTGAAGGGCTTCAAATTTTCACCTGTATTTGGCACTCAGGGACAGTGAGCAGTGAGGGATCTTTATCGTACCGGCGCCAAATATGCATATCCCTGTATTTGAATTTCAACTCTAAATTTCGCTCTTAAAATATACTAATAACAACGTTTATTCTATTCAGTATTTTAATAAACAGGGTTGTGGATAATATTTTTCATAGAAGAATGTTTTTAAAAACATGGGACAAGTCCTTTAACTCCTTCTATAGGATCCCTGGCACAAATAGTCACAGTTTCTTTAACCTCACCTTAAGATATTATGATACCATAAACTTTTAACAGACAAATATCTTTCATGGTTAAAATGGTTACATGTACTTAAGTTAAATAGCAATTTTGAACATGTTCGAAGACTCATTACCAACGTTTATTAGAAAGTATAAAAGTGACCGTGGCAGTTTATTAAAGAAGAGATTAAAGAAGAAGCCTGATGTCTTACAAAAGAATGGAAACAATATTTTGGAAAGCAGCTATTACATACATTTTTAGAGAAGAAGAATTGAAAAGGAATTACTTAATTCATGCCTGTTATTGCACATGCATAAAAAATAAAAGCAATTATTAGTTGAAATATAATAAAGAAAAGAAAAATATTCAAACATGTATGAAGGCAGAAATATACTTTTAGCTATTAGTTGGTATAGTTATAAAACATATTTTTAATTCCCTGCCTGTTTTCTTTTTTTTTTTTTCTTTTCAAAGCACGTCTGTGTATAAAAAGAAGAATTTTTTAAGGCAAGTGTGCGGTCTAAATTTCTGCATTCACAACAGTTTAAACAATGAAAAAATGGAGCCTTGCTATGGATATTATGTGAAAAATTAAAAAAAAACAACACACACACACACACACACATTGAAAGGTATTTAGTTTTCTTGGATGGTATATCTTTGTGTATATATTTCAAAACTTTAAAGGACTTATCACATGATCTTTCAAAAATCGTAATTTTATGAAAAATATTATCTACAACTTTGTTTATTAAAATACTGAATACAATTGAAAGCATATTGTAAGAGATATTGAGAGTTGAAATTCAAATACGACAATATTCATATTTCAGTCGGATTTCGTCGAAATGCTGAAATTCAAATACGGCAATATTCATATTTCAGTCGGATTTCGTCGAAATACTGCTCTGACGTCATAGGCGACAATTCAATGATAGAAAGATGAGAATATGCACACCCTTTACGGAGTTATCAACGACAAATGCAGCTTAATTACAAAAAATGCTGACAAAAAAATTCCTAACGTGATTTTTAATTACTATAGAAACATTAACTAGTTCTAAGGTATAAGGCTTATGAGATATTTTCTCTTTTTTTTAATCCAAATATTTAGAATCTGTAGCTCTGATTACCTCAATGTTTCTTGAGGGGAAAATTATTTTTCAAGACCTCCATCCTTTATAAAATGTATGAAGGCATACTTGTATAAATTAATACTGTGTTAAAAACGAAGAATAACAAAGATATATAATAGTTCTATAACAAAGTTATATAATTATGGGAATCGAATAAGTTAATTTGTGTGATAAGATGACAAATCAAATTGTATTGTAATGGCGAGTTTCTTCGTCTTCGCCGCGTCTTCCTCGCTTTCGTCGCTGCTATTTTTACAATGTCAACAGATTTTTCAGATTTTTTCGTGCTGATAATTCTAAAATATAAGGTTGGGTATTTAATTTCCTATCGATAAAATCTGGGATTTGGTCTTCCACAACGTAGAAAATCCAGGTTGTCTCGCGTATATTTTAGTAAGATCAACGTGAAGAGCTGATCAGCCATTGTCGCCTTTGACCTCACAGGGTCGCGTGATCGCTATCTTTTTAACTTAGATTTTTAAATCAGGGATTTTCGTTTGAGTCAATAATTGGTTAATTACCGCGGTTTATCCACAGTAAAAATACAATTTTATTAACTGTGGTCATAAGGAACGTTTTACGCTTTTAATTTTAAATAATTTAGAAACATGCGATAAGTCCTTAAATTTTGAAATTGATATCTATGAGCAACTAATCGAGCTTTTATTTCTGTCCACCATACAATTGTATTTAGACGTTTTCAGTCTTATATAACGCTTGTACATATATAATATACATATATAAAATTTTGTACAGTCTTGAATCTCTTTTGGCTGATCTGTGAATATCTTTCAAAAAAAAAAAATAAATAAATAGAAAGGGATACTAAGATAGTTTTGCAAGTCGGTTGCATTTCGAATCCCAGACTTAAGTTTTTCCCCTCATAATGTCTTTCTTTTTTTTAATATAAAAAGATGTTTGGACCTCATTTGTCTGGATGGCTGAATATATTGATCCGTAAATAATTTTTTTTTTTCATAAAAGGGAATCATTATATGAGATTTGTTGACCTTTTCAGTGTTTTTTATGTGCTGACTAAAGCGTTTACGTACTCATGGTTCCAGAGCTAGAATGATTTTCTTCCATTTACTTAATGGGCAGATACAGTTTTCCTGCAGATTTTAGAATATATATTCCTTCTGGTAGTTCACGTTAAGCTAAAAGAAGCTTTAAAATGTACATTTGGTATATATTTTGTGAAGAGTTTCTTGCATGTTTGTTGCACAGCCGGAGAACTGTCATCCTGGACTTGTGGTGTGCCCTAGACTGGTAACAACAAAGAACACGGGTAAAAACAGAAGGGTCACAGTTAAGGTTTGTAATCTTTCAGCTAGTTCTGTTAAGATACTACCCAAGACAGACATCGGTAGTGTAAGTCAGGTAAATGTAATAGACACCTGGAATCTACAGAGAGCAGAAGTCAAACCAGCCAAACAGAAAAATTCCACTACCAGATCATTGGTAGATTTAGGCGTGAAAGTCAGTCAATATATCGGGTCTCAATAGCTCACTTGGTACGAGTCCCGGTTGGTTCGAGTCCCGGTTGAGACTTGATTTTTCACCAACTGTGACATTTGGCGCTCAACGTACAAATACCCACTATTCCCTAGAAACATGCCTTACAGCATTTCCTTAACTCCTAGAATTCGAGGATGAATTTCTTCGAAGAGGGGGAATATGTCACCGGGTTCATAGGTGCGTGAAAGTCAGTCAATATATCGGGTCTCAATAGTTCAGTTGGCAAGAGGGCTGGCACGGTACGCCAGAGGCCCTGGGTTCGAGTCCCGGTTGAGACTTGATTTTTCACCACCTGTGACATTATTTTCTGGGAATTTTTCATAATATAAAATCTCTACAGCTGAATGTGTTTGCAAGTATCTACGAGGGCCGTTCAAAAATTAAGCGGACTTGTTGCATAGAAAATATATTTGACGACATAATCAAGCAAAAAGTCACAAATGATATAAAAGAATCTTTACATATATGGTCATTAAAATTTCATATCAAAATATTGTAAATTGGTATCAATTTCAGGTGATTTTACAGGACATATCATGAAGTCACGGCGCAGTAAAGCATTCAACGTCACGGACATTTTACAAAATGGGAGCTTTCATTTTCTCAATATTTTACCTTAGTATTTGATACTGTATAGACTGGGTTACCTTATCCACTCAGAATAAACATCCATATACCATTTCTGATCCAGCTTAAAAACTATAAAACTAGTATTGTGTGCTCTAGTTTGTGTTAAACTTCAAAACTGCAGATATTTCTGAAGTCATCTTTGAGGTCAG